TTTCATCTTGAAGTTTTCTAGCAAAAATACGCTATATAGTTTATGTTGGAATTTGTAAAGCAATATAAAATATTCACAGTTTTAAATGCCCATAAAGGTCTCCCGCTCATATTTTATGTACATGTATACGATTTTATATTTTATAACTTAAAATTATCGAAAATGTTTTCAAAAAAGTGCTCAACTTTGTCAAGGAGCATTGTAATATAACTCTACTGGATTTAAAAATTAGATAGCGTTTTTAAACTACCAGCAAACTTTAACGGTCATTCATTAATTCATTGTAACTTGCCTGACGAGTGTGGCCATCTCTGATGACCATACGAAACCAGCTTGTAGCAATACATGTAAAACAATGAATCATTCTAGTCTTTAAGTACAATTTTATTTTTTTACGATTTTATATACATAGACGGTTTYTTAGTAAGCTAAAGCATTAATACTGGTGCGTTAAACTAAAGCTTTGGCAGATAATGTCCTGTCCTGTACCCTTTTAGGATATTTCAGTTTCACCCTCTATTTTCTGTGATTTGAACCCTCTATTARTAAAAAGTATTTCATGCTCATTTTCCCAACTCTTTTTCTAGGAGAACATCCTCTCCAGCATCGAGTCATCATTCATAGACTTACAGAACTATTTTAGAGCATTAACCAAAAGCAGAAAGATCATGGGACAACTTACACTTCAAAAAACCCGTTTACCAGAAGAAACATAGGTAGGTATATGTACTTCGCTAGTACCTGCGTTGTCACTACAGTCAACTCTCGCTATTACGGACACCCTCGGGACCTTAGTTTAGTGTCCGCAGTAGCGAGTGTCCGTAGTAACGAGAGTTACTTTCAGTCATTGTATTTTTCTTCGGGGATTCGGTACTTTACTGTCCGCAATATCGAGGTGTCCGTTGTAGCGGGGTGTCCGTAAGGCGAGAGTTGACTGTAGTGTGCGGTTTCGCGCGCAAAGGTGGATCACTTAGTGCTAGCTTCTCACAACTTCGCGGCCGGGATTCGAATCCGAGTTTTTCGACAAGGCAAATTGTACACCTTGTCTCACTCCAGAATCACGTATAATGAGACGTGTTTTTTTGTTTGTTTGTTTGTTTTGTTTTGTTTTTAAAGTTGTGTCTTAAAGACAAACGTTTTTGTGTTACGAAAGGTTTTGAAAGGGATCATGACGCACTGGCCGTATGTCACGTGACCTGGCCGTACTAATACGAATGTAATATAGCCGGTTAAAGTCGTTAAACAATTTCAAACGCACTTATGATTTTATTAAAATTGAGCTGTATAGAAAGTCACAAATGCATAACGTCTACAGCCATTTTAACGCTGAATGTTACTTAATTACCGAATTGCGCAAATTCAATGTCTATTATAGCAGAGAAAATCAACGAAATAATTATTAACGGAAAAAATGTATTATCTAAGAACTGGATGCAATACATACAGCCTTTTTCAAAAATTATGAGAATTGCTGAAATATCTAAATATCATAATATCAAGTGCATGATCCCGCGCGATGCCCTTAGTCCCTTGTCTTTGTTGTTTAGTTTTTTTTCGGGGACGGTCTTATCTGTAGTTCTGAACATTTTCTCGATGTCAACAATGAATTACTCTAGCAAACCCGCGTGTTCCGGACAATGTGTGGATATGGATATTATGATATTTAGATATTTAGACAATTCTCATAATTTTTGCAAAAGGCTGTAAATTCTTACTAATTGGCAATTACGAAGAACTTTGAAAACATTAATAGTGACTATTAATTCCAAATTGTACGAGAGGTTGTGCGATTTTTTGTTTATAGTACATGATTCAGTGAAAGAAAATTTTATAAGGAGTAAAATAAACGCTGTAATTGTACTCCTCTCGACCAATGAAACAGTCTTATTTTGTTGAATGCACTATAAAAAGAAAAATTATTACTTGTCTCGTCCTTGTTTTTTAAGATGGTGAACATACGGTGTATAT